TAGTCTCAACACCTAACGAGGAGGGCAAGGAGCAGATTAATCATGATGATGGTGCTACTGAGGTAGGTTTGGGTATTGAAGATGAGTTGGGAAAAGATGATTACATGCTCCAAGAGAGTGAGGGCGAATTACATGATGTTCATAATGAAGAAGTCCCGCTCCACAAGCAAGAATTCCCCTCTTGTACACATGCACCAGTCCACTCTTACGTGGTTTCAGATATGGACTTCTTTGATTCACTCCTTGATGACGATATTCCTTTTTGTGTGGAGAATGACAACATCATCCAGGAAGTTATTGATAAGAATAATGTTAACGAGAGTTGGGATGCCTTCATGGGGAGTGATACAGAGTCCGGAGGAGAGGTTGTGAATGTTCATGATATTTGTGAGGAAGAAGAAGACTTTTCTATGGTGCAGTTTGATTACGGTGTTGCTCCTACTCCTTGGTTGGAGACATGTTTTGAGCTTTCGGTGATGCCTAGAGTAATCAAAGTTTTCACTCATATTCCCTATCCACCTGAAGAGGATGAGAGTTTCATACTAAGAGTGGACTCGGTTCGGGCCCAGCCCGGTTCGGTTCTACATAATTTTTTTTTTGGGTTTTCCTAATCAACCCCCGACCCTCCCCCTCAACCCCAAACCACCTCAAATGGCCCAAAATACCCAATCCAACCCAAAAACTTAAAAAAAAATTCCAAAAAAAAAATTAAATCCGGCCCGGACCGGGCCCGAACCGGTTCACAAAAATGAAGACCCGAGCCCGGAACCGGTAGCCACCGGGCCGGGTCAAACCGAACCGCCAATGGGCCGGGCCGCCGGGCCGGGCCGGTTCAAACAGTGAACGGGCCGGGCCGGTTCCGGTTTGGGCCGCCCAGCCCGAGTCCACCCCTATTTCATACTTCACTTCTGCGCTGATGAGGGTTATGAAAACCATATGCTTCATTTAGATTTGAAAATACATTCTTCATACCATACAAGTGGAGACGTATGTTGCATTGGTCTTGGACTATTTATAGTTGACAAGTTAATGAAAATGTAATATTTGATTATGTTCATCAAAGTAATAATGCGAAAATTACACTTTAATAGGGAAGGGAAGTCCATTTCGCCACAAGTCCACAATAATGAGTCTTCTTTTTTATCAGTATTTCATCCCATCATGGGAATTCTTGCAGTGTGTATTCTATTTGATTAATCTTCATGAAACTTTTTAGACGTACACAATTAGTAAATTAACACTCATCAACTCGGTGTTCAAATTCAAAATGAACTAGTGTCTTACCAAAATCTTTCATCTCAAGTACAACTTTAAAATATACTACCTCTGTCCTGGTAGACTTTGCCAAGTATACAGTAGGTGAAAAATAAGAATAGTAAAAAATTGCGTGGTTGAGATTTGTGCAGAGAAGAGAGAAGTGTGCAGAACCACAAATTAGTTGCTTTAATAGAAAAGTGACAAAGTTTTTTGAACAAGCAAAAAGGGAAAGTTGACAAAGTCCAATGAGACGGAGAGAGTATAAAGGTTTATCATATTTCATTATGGATACATATTATGTTTGTATCTACCATATACAATGAAACTTTGGGCCTTTATGCTTGTTAGGCATGCTTCGGTTCTTGTGAGTACATTTGTCGTGGTCGAACCCCATACACCAAGGTCATCGTGTTGAATCCTTCTTTTCCTTGCATTATCGTGTAATGTCCTCTTTACATCTATTTCATCTACTTATGAACTTGGTTTTTAACTATGCTCTACATTCTCGATGATCTTGTGGACACTTTAATTTTGTAGCAAGTTTACCAAGAATACATTTCTAAGATTCCAAGTCCCTGAAAGCACTTCTTTTAGAACTTAATAGGATCTCACCATTTAAGTTTTATCTTTCATTGTTGGACAATCTGCTAGTTTGGGCAATCTCGTTCACTCTTCCAAGTCCCTCATTAAATGTCTGTTATGTGTAGGTTTCCTGGTGAAGGGCAAATATTCATGGAAGGGAAGCACATGTACTAAGCTAGTTAAACAAGTGGCAGTTGTGTGCATTATATGCAAAAAAATCATTTATTATGTATGTGTGTGCAATATGTACTCATGAAGGTGTAATATGCCATTTTTGCCAGTATATGTAAGGAATAATTCTAAAAATTAGAAAGTCCTTTCAAAAGTAGGAGCGGACTTTTTTAGTTTGGGAACAACTTTTGGAAAGAATATTTCAGTTTTGGACTGTCATTGTACATTAAACGTACTTAAAAAACTTTGATGGACATCTATAAAATCTCCCATTTTTATATTTTTAATAGGAGCGAATTGGTATACTGAGAATCTAGAATGAAATCATATTGTCATATTTTGGTATTATGGCACATTAATATGAAGGTACTAACTACTAAGCAATAATTTACAATATATTTCATGATAACTACTCCTATTTTGGGAAAATAAACGTGATACTCCTATTCAGGGCCGTTTTTTAGGAGGGTCAATAGGTTATCCGGAACAGGGCCGTCAAATTTATGTGGCCCCGGATTTTTAAAAATTTATTAGTATTATATAGTAATATTATACATTAACTCCGCCATGAGATCAATTTTTTTTGGGTTTCATGCCTGTCCCAAGCCAGGATAAAGGAGGAGGGTGCTGTGGTAGGCGCGTGACGGCCAACAGTATTACCTAGTCACATCACATGACATGAATCGAAATATGAATATCGCTATAGCTAGGTCGTCGCCCGTAAGCGACGCGTCATCCCTCCGCCTGGGGGTGGTGTCAAATATGCAAGGGCGCGCTACACTTCATAGGCCTGGGTGTGGTGATAAGAATGTTAAGGTTGCTAGGTCGTCGCCCGGAAGCGGCGCGTCATCCCATTGCCCGAGGATGATGTCAAATATGCAAGGGCGTGGTGGGGTCCGAGGCGGGGCTAAGAACAGAAGGTGGAGTGCTAGATTGCGCTTTGGGACGTGGAATGTTGGGTCTCTTACAGGCAGATCTTCCGAGGTAGTCGAAGTTATGAGGAGGAGGAATATCGGCATTATGTGTGTGCAAGAAACTAAATGGGTTGGAGAGAAAGCACGTGAGATTAATCCCGGAGGTTTTAAGTTGTGGTATTCGGGGAGAGATAAGACCAGGAATGGGGTAGGCATTATTGTGGCACGTGATTATGTTGAGGATGTGGTAGAAGTCTTCAGGAAGAACGATCGCATCATGAGCATTAAATTGGTGATGAGGGGTGAGATTGTGTCTGTGGTAAGTGCCTATGCACCACAAGTGGGATTGGATGCATCTACAACTCAACAGTTCTGGGAAGATCTTGAAGATGTGGTGCGACGAGTGCCAAGAGGAGAGAAGTTGGTCATAGGAGGCGACCTCAACGGGCATGTGGGCTCGATTCGTGATGGCTTTGAGAGTATTCATGGCGGACATGGTTTTGGCACTAGAAATGAAGCGGGAAAGAACATTTTGGATTTTGCCTCAACGTATGAGTTGGCTATAATGAACACTTGGTTTAGGAAAAGAGACTCTCACCTTGTAGCCTATAGAAGTGGAGCTAATAGTACCCAAATTGACTACTTCTTAGTACGTACTACTTGGAGAACTAGCTACACCGATTGTAAGGTTATCCCAGGTGAGAGTGTTGTCACTCAGCATAGGATGCTTGTGCTCGACTTTCGAGGTAAGAACCATAGAAGACAAGTTAAGCAACAAGTGGAGCCAAAGATAAAGTGGTGGAGGCTTGAGGGGGATCTTCAACAAAGCTTTACACACAAAATGTTCGGTGAAGATGTGTGGCGTATTGGTAATGGAACACAGGTGGAGGATGCATGGTTATCGATGGAGCTGACCATTAACAAAGTGGCAAAGGAGGTACTTGGGGAATCTAAAGGATGTTTGCCACCCAAAAAGGACACGTCTTGGTGGAATGATGAGGTGAAACAAGCCATAAGGAACAAAAGAGATTGCTACAAAAAGTTGGGAATAAGTCGGAGTGATGAGAACATAGAAGCTTACAAGGAGGCTAGAAGACAAGCAAAGAAAGCCGTAAAAGAAGCACAAGGGAAAGTGAACAAGGAGTTGTATGAAAAATTGGACTCTAAGGAAGGAGAACAAGAGATCTATAGACTTGCTCGTCTTCGTGATCGCAGGACTCAAGATATCGGAAAAGTTAAGTGTGTGAAGGATGTTGATCAAAGGATATTAAAGGAGGACGGAGAGATAAAAGAGAGGTGGAGATCATACTTTGATACATTGTTCAACGGGAACAAAGTGCAAGATATCGATGATTTGACCATACCAGATTGTATGGTAAATCGTGATTTTGTGAGAAGGATCCAACCAACGGAAGTTAAAGAGGCTTTGAGGAAGATGGGGCGGAAGAAAGCAGTGGGTCCAGATGGCATACCGATCGAGGCTTGGAGAAGTTTGGGAGAGAGAGGCATTGGGTGGTTAACAAATTTCTTCAACAAAATTTGGAGAAACAACAAGATGCCAACGAGTTGGAGAAAGAGTACTCTTATTCCCTTATTTAAGAATAAAGGTGATGTACAAGAATGTGCCAACTATCGGGGGATTAAACTTATGAGTCATACCATGAAACTTTGGGAGCGATTGATTGAGCAAAGACTTCGAAGAACGGTGAAGATCTCAGAGAATCAATTTGGTTTTATGCATGGTCGCTCAACAACTGAGCCTATTCACCTTCTTCGGCAACTTATGGAGAAGTATAGAGACGCTCACAAGGATTTGCATTTAGTGTTCATTGACCTAGAAAAGGCATATGATAGGGTACCTCGAGAAGTTCTTTGGTGGGCCTTAACTAGAAAAGGCATTTCACGCAAGTATATCAGCATCATCATGGATATGTATGAGGATTGTACTACAAGTGTCCGTACTAGTGTAGGGAGGACTGCGGAGTTCCCTATTACTATCGGAGTGCACCAAGGATCGGCTCTTAGCCCTTTTTTATTTGCCATAGTCATGGATGAACTTACAAAGTCAATTCAAGACGATATACCGTGGTGCATGATGTTTGCCGACGATATTGTATTGATTGATGAGACGCAATCAGGGGTTAAAGCAAAGTTGGAAGTATGGCGACAGACATTGGAGAACAAGGGTTTCAGACTAAGTAGGAGCAAGACAGAGTACATGGAGTGCAAGTTTGGTGGAGGTAGAAGCAGTGGTAATAGCGGAATTACTTTAGATGGTAAGGAGATACCAGTCAGCGATATGTTCCGTTATTTGGGCTCCATAATTCAGAAGGAGGTGAGTTAGATGGAGATGTATCCCATAGAATCAGAACAGGGTGGATGAAGTGGAAGAGTGCATCAGGATTTCTATGCGATCGAGGTATGCCGACTAGACTGAAGGGTAAATTTTATAAGACAGCAATTAGGCCGACATTATTGTATGGCACGGAGTGTTGGGCGGTGAAACAATGTCACATTCAAAAGATGAGTGTGACAGAGATGCGCATGCTGCGTTGGATGTGTGGGCATACTAGAAAGGACCGCGTGAGGAATGAGACAATTAGACAAAGGGTGAGAGTAGCACCTATTGAAGATAAGATGAGGGAGTCACGCCTACGGTGGTTTGGTCATGTGCATAGAAGACCGAGTGATGCACCTGTCAGACGAGTTGAGATGTGTGGAGAAGAGGTAGGGAAGAGAGGGAGAGGAAGGCCCAAACAGACGTGGGTTAGGGGAGTCAGAAGTGATATGCTTCTTCTTGGATTGGATGAGGGTATGGCTTTGGAGAGAGCAAAATGGAGGGCGGGTATTCGTGTTGAGGAGTGATCTTGTATCATCTTTTTTTCTTCTTCTTTTTTTTTTTCCTTTTCTCTTATATCTTTATCCTTATATATAAATATTACCTTATCCTTTTTATTTGATCTTTTATATGTATATTCATCTCTTTTATATTATCTTTTTTTTTATAATAGCTTATCTTTTTTATCTTTAGTTTCTTTCTTTTCCTTTTGGTGATAATGTGATATCATATATCGATTCATGTTAGCCGACCTCAATATCATTTGGGACTAAGGCTTGGATGTTGTTGTTGTTGTATATAGTAATATTATACATTATTCAGTAAAATACAGTTAATAAAGAAGAAAAATATAGAAAAATATAGATCCATCGTTTTTTTCACTGGCTCTTTCACTTTTTAGTTTTCTTTTAAGGAGTATTCAAATGATGTGAGTATAAGTATTTGAATTGAGATTTTTTTTAATTTTTTTATATTAATGTGGTTATGTGGGGCCTCGACTTTACATTTAGAACTGGGGCCTCCAAATTCATTAGACGGCCATGCTCCTATTTTATAATTCTGCATTGTTTTTACTCATATTTGAGGCAATTTCGGTTTATACTAACTCAAATGTGCAGACACTGGCTATCTGTATTTTGATTTACAGTTGAAGTATTGGAATAAGAGTTAATCAGACTAGGATGCCTTCTCAGCTAATAATTTGGAATGAACATCCATCTTACGCACTACTTACTACTAATGTGTTGGTCTTTCATGGTCTTATCTACAAAAACCACATCTTCAACCCAAGCCACGATGTTGAATGCCAAACTCTCCAACACTCTTGAATAGCTTTCCAATATTGATTTCCCAACATCCTTATTAAAAAACCAAAAGAATATATTTAGATTTTTTCAGGACTATGTAATTAGTATAAATGCCCAAAGGATAAAAAAGAGATGAATTTTTATATTTATACCTTATTGCATTGGATCTTACACGTGTCCAGTGTTGTTTGTGAGAGTTCAGGGAACCTTTGCTTCAATGAAAACAGCAGACTCTCTGCCCTTTCTGCTAAAACATGATTTTTATCAGTTATATCAATTTCAGAAATGAGATCTTTGACCATCTCCCATGAGGATTTTGCGTGAGATAAACAAGCTTTTCTTCTCCATGTATACATGGAAGCCTCAACCTTGTCTGCAAACTCAAGTGCTTCATGCTCTGAGCTTATGTTTAGACTATCAAGAATATGTTCAGGTGAAAACTTCTCTGCTGAATTCATGTACCGATAAATCGATTCACCCACACTTGCTTTCCCACTCTGAAAAGAAACACAAGCTCAGAAAAGAGTGTTGGACAATCCTCACATTTTTTTTTTGAAAACGACAATCCTCACATCTTAAGAGTTCTTGAAGTGATTCTTAATACATTATCAAAGTTGTAACTAGATGTGCATCCGTGCAAAAAAACTCAATGGTTTCAATTTCTTCACTTATTCAAATCAGGTATTGGTTTTAACTAGTTTCAACACTAAGATCATTAAAAATTGTATTTTAGCAATTTTTTTTAAATAATCGCTACCCTTAAGATTGTTTTGTAAGTGAGTTTGAGGTGCCATTTCATTACAAACTAAACATCTAATTGTTCAAATCAATACTTAATACTTTTGAGCAAAAAATGGATCATTTAACTTAGACTACGTATGTCAGTAAGACCTTGTATGATCATTACTTTATATATATATATATATATATATATATATATATATATACACACACACACACACACACAATTATTCAGGTCCGGCCAGGCCGGACCACTCCCCCCGTCCGGTCTCCTCCATTTGGGGGCCTTCCCGGTGGTATTTTTTGCTCAAATTTTTTGTGTAGGTTCCTCATCAAGTCTAGTTCATCCATACCAAATTTCAGCTAAAAATTCAATCGGGAAGGTCGTCAAATGATTTTTGCAAGTTAACTGGTCCGGAAAATACATTTTCCGGACCAGTTAACTTGCAAAAATCATTTGACGACCTTCCCGATTGAATTTTTAGCTGAAATTTGGTATGGATGAACTAGACTTGATGAGGAACCTACACAAAAAATTTGAGCAAAAAATACCACCGGGAAGGCCCCCAAATGGAGGAGGCCGGACGGGGCTCCGGTCAGGTATACCTGACCGGAAGACTACTCTCTCTCTCTATATATATATAATTGAAATTAATGAGAGACATGCACCTTTGGAAGTGAGGCAACGTAAGAATCGGGGATTTTCATATCAGAAAGAATGCTACTGTTAATGGCCATTGCCGCTTTGTGAATCTGGTTAGCACATTTGCTTTTGTGCCTCAAATTCTTCCTTGACTTCTCAGATAACCCACATATCGGAACACAAACAACTGGCAACCACCACTTTTCCTCATTCCTTTGAGGTTGAGGTTGAATTACCCTTCTAAATGATCCATGCCGCCTTGAGTTCCCTGACATGCTTCCTTTCTCTGTGTACCAAAACTCAGTTGTTTCAAAACTGTCCAAAATCTCCTGCAATAGCAGCAGCTTCTAAAATTATAAATTGTAGTATCATTTCTAAACCTTTGGTTACTTATACGGAGTATATTTTTACATTATTTATCTCTAGTGTCTGGAGAAGTATGAACTAAGAACCTGTTTGTTTGGTAAGGCTTAAAATGACGGGAGTAGTTAATTTTTTTAGATTTATTGAGATTCTGAGAATGTGGCTAACATTAATTTACAAAAATATTAAGGCCGGATGTGCTAAATAATCTACAAAAACATTAGTTTAACCAAGGCCCTGAAAATATAAGTTAATGTTTAGTGAAAAACCAACGCATAGGCATAAAAGAAGACTGCCAAACAGGCTATAAAGATAAAAGAAATTATGGATTTAGGCTTTTAGTAGGCAATGTTTATAATACCAAGAGCATGTTATCCAGTTTTCTCAATGCTGGAAGATTCATGTAGATATCTGATCTTGGCCTACTTGTCATCACCTAGAAATGGGTACGAAAATCACATCAATTATATGAGTAAAAAACATTAAGAAAAAAATACAATGAAGATGAGAATTATTGGAGACTAATTTAAGTTTGTTATTACCTCAATAGTGGTGCCATCCTGTAACTTCTGTGAAGTAGGAAAAAATTCTACTATGTAGTCGCAGACAGAGAGAAGACAATTCATTTCTCTCTTCCACATTGACTTCTTATCAACATTTAAAGGTTCCAATCTCTGGTGCTGACCAAAAACAGAAGCTGGCAACAATAACAACAAAAACATAAAATGATTATACTTTCAAGAGAAAACGCCTTGAATTGAAGCACTTCTGTTTTCATAAAATAAGTATTTCTATACAGTTCTCCTTTTAGGTACTACATTATAATCCTCACCTTCATTCAGGGTAGCTAATAGTGTCCAAATACAAAAACAAGAGGAACTTAACGCTAGTCATTATATTCCCACTTGAGCATTCTCTGGTTATCAATTTGCACAATCACTACATGAATAACTAACTTTTTAGACTAGTGACTGGCAGCAAGATATAATCTCCAAAAAAAAATCAAGTAATAAAAATGAACACTCCCTCCATGTTCATTTAATTTTTCTGCTAGGCTTAACCAAAGCTGGATTGTTATCCTAGCGGTCTAGCCATATCGGGGTACACAAATCATCTCTTTATGATGAAACTTATGGGTAAAAACTAATCAGTATGATTATTGATAATAAGCAATGACCGGTCAACAGTGGTTTAATTCTAATAAAATGAAATAGTACCAGATCACGCACACTCATACCAGATCAACCTTTGAATACTTGTTTACGGATCAAAGTAAAATATACAAGTAATCAACACGTGAAGAAAAACAAGCCAAAAAACATTCTTATACCTCTCAACTTCTCAAGTAATCAATGTCATACTTATTTGTAAAAAACATAAAAATTTAAGTTTCAAATTTTGAGGTAAAGTTGTATCATGTACACGAGCACATAAATAAAACATGGAAACAGTAAGATAGAAGTCATGCATGCAGCATGAACCTAAAAGGACAAGGCACATACATGCAAGTGTGACCCAGGTGTGAGAAACCCTATCATATTGTTAGGGATGGGAAACAAACTAGGTAGAGATCTAAAGACATGTTACTACAAAGATTATAATTTTATATACAAAGAAGCAAGCTTCTCACTGTCATGCTGATATACATGACAGCAACCAAAGTCCTAGAACATGTGTATACTAATGTTTTATACTACATATTTCACTTATTTCCAAGCACTGCACAAGTCATCACAACAAGAGGAAACATTCCACTCCTATTTAGAGGGCACTTCTGTATTATTATTGTTTTTCATATTTTTCAAACCCTGGAACAAATGATTGAATTTTTTATTTATTTGTGGAATACTAAAATATATTGGTCCTGTCTAAATTAGTTATTCCAATATTAATGACTTCCTCCTTCCCAAAATAATTTTCAGTTTTATTGTTTTGCCCAATGAAGTCATATTTTATTCTCTAATTTCGAGTACTGCTTTTTATACTCTGTATTTGAAATTGGTGTTTCGGATGCAATATAACTTTTAAATATTTAAATTTCGACAATTTTCGACCATAGACAATTTATCGTCCATCAATACAAGACATACAAATTTGTAATATCCTTTGTCGACTTAAAGGAAGTATAAAGTATACATGAAAAAAAATGTATAGTTACTATACACAGAAAATAAAGAAAAAGAATATTACCAAAATGATAATTTGGTAATACAGAAAATGCAATGTGTAGGACTTGGAAGAACAAGAGAAGTACAGAAAATGCAATGTATTGGATTTAGAACAAAAAATATAGAAACTGTAATGTATATATATAACATTACCAAAAAGATTAGTAATGGAATTTGAGATTGTTAGTGCTGTAGACACCCCTTTACCACTTCCAGACATGTCTTCTCCCAACAACAGCTTTGAAAACCTTTCCTTCATCAATTCCATCTCTGCAACCAAATTGTTGTAGCACAAAATCCTCATTAGACAAAATAGAATAAAAGTGCAGTATCACAGGATCATCATCTACTAGCTTTGTCGCCTCCTCACCTAAATCAACTGTCTCAGGATCATCTGCAGTGTTCTTGTGATGTCTAATTCCAAGCCGTGAAAGGGCGTTACGGATTGGGGATTTGAAGAGCGGAAATATCACAGGGGACGATGTCCCAGAACCGCCATTATCATCTGTTGAGGTCTCTGAATTTGTTCTGCAATACCCGAAAGAAGAATCCCCACTCAATGCCGCTGTTACTCTGGGGGATTCATCTGTTTCTTGATCATAACTCTCCTCCGAGTTAGACGATAAATTATCCATTTCTGGAAAATACAGCCAATTTTATTTTTAAACAAGTCCAAGAAACCTAACAAAATCAGACTCCACCTGCAATAATAAGGTGAGGAAGTGGACATTTATTTATATGATGTTGAAAAATATAAATAGTTTTCAAGTATGAGAAAGGGTTTCAGCAGTTCAAGATTTGAGGCCCGGGAAACTAAAAATGGTAAAAGAAAGGGAAAGCGAAACCCCAAGTAAAGTAAAAGAGGATTCTTTCCATGTGCAGATTTGAATAAAAGGAGAGAATTTGAAAATTTAAGGGATAACGGTAAACTACAATCTTGAACTTATTCAGTGTTTAATAGCAAGATTTGAATTCGAACAATCACTGTTAGTAAAGTGCCTATCCTGCTACTATCTCAACTTCTACTCAGTAGTTGAGCACCTTGTTGAGCTTTTTCCTGCAAAAAAGAAGGGCCCGTCTTTCCTTGACCATGAAGCTTCTATGTTTCAACAATTCTCATGTTTCAAAGGGTTGGTCCAACTTCAATCACACCAAGTTAAAGGCTTTCAAACGGAAAAAGTGATTAGCAGTAAAAGTGTTTAGTGTTTGGTAAAATAAGTGTTTTTTGTGTAATTGAAAAAATAAAAAGTAGATTCTACACGAAAACTGAGAAAGTAAAAGTTGACAGTGTGATAAAATAAGTGTTTTTTTCTTAAAAAAAAGCCCCAAACACTTTATTTAAGTGTTTGCAAACAAGCCCTAAATTCACACAAAGTAAGCGGTACGGCCGTTCTATCCGGGTCGTTTTTGTTCTGCCTCGGTGCGTATTGCATCAGTCCAACCGGTGACACACCTGGCTTGCTTCTCTTTCTGAAATTGGAGGCGAGACGAAGGGTGAGACTGTTATCTATTCGATGTTGCGGCTTCGTCTTTCACAGAAGAAAAACAGATTAATTTCAGGGGCAGATGAGTGTTCTCAGTTGGAATTGCAGGGGCTTGAATAATCCGGCAACTATTCAATGCTTGACTGATTTGATCAGTTTATACTGACCGACGATTGTTTTTCTCATGGAAACAAAAGTTCGGTGTCAGCGTGCAAAAGAGATAATGCGGTCATAGGGGCTGACTCACTCGGAAGGAACATACAGTGTAGGACGAAGCGGGGGGCTGGTTTTGGGATGGAGAGACGAGGCTGAAGTGGAAGTGACAAAGATTGATCATAACTTTTGGACAGCCGGGTTGTACTAAGAGAAAACGAAGTGCCGTGGAGGTTAACGGGCTATTACGGGTTTCACGGGTTTCCTGACACTATCTGACGGCGAGCAGCATGGAACATGATGAAGGAATTGGCTGTCGGGAATAACAATCCATGGATGATGATTGGAGATTTTAATGATATACTTTTTGATTCGGAGAAAAAGGAAACGTTCCACATCCCCCATAGGGGATTCGGGGTTTCTGGGAGACAGTGGATAGCTGTGGTCTGAGAGATTTTCCTTTTTCAGGTTATCAATGGACCTGGGATAGGGGGAAGGGCACAACTCATTGGGTGGAGGAGAAACTCGACCGTATATGTACTTGTTAATGATGCCTGGTGGGATATGTTCACAGGAGCTCAAGCCGCGTCATTGGAGGCTCCGGTGAGTGACCATATGGCACTTCATGTGCAGGTTAAATGTACTTCTCCGAATGGTAGGAAAAAGTTTTTTAAATTTGAGAATAATTGGATTAAGGAGGAGGAATGTAGGATAGTTGTAGCTAATAGTTGGGGAGCAACCGGTCAAATGCCTATAAATGAAAGAATTGGTTTTTGTGGTAATGAATTGCTTAGATGGGACAGGGGAAGGAAGAGGGGTTTCCGGCACCAGATTATGGCGTGCAAGTCAAGACTAGCCTGGTTAAGGGGCAAGGATGATCGTGCAAGTGTTCTTGAATTTTTACATGTTCGTTCAGTTTTGCAGCACTTGCTTGAAAAGAAGAATCAGTTCTGGAGGCAACGAGCTAAGGAGTTCTGGTTAAAGGAGGGGGATATTAATTCCCATTTCTTTCACAATGCAGTCAAGCAGAGAAGACGGAGAAACAAGATGACGGGGTTGAGAAGAGCTGATGGCTCGTGGTTGACCAACCGTGGAGAGTTGGGATTGGCAATTGTGGACTATTTTTCCACTTTATTCCAAAACCAGAGGAGAGACCAGCAGACCGTCATCGGGGGAGACTTCAATCAGGTTTCGGCCAAGCAAAATCTTTCACTTTTAGAGCCTATTAGTCCAGAAGAGGTCAAGCGAGCAGTGTTTGATATGCACCCGAAAAAAGCTCCAGGTTCAGATGGAATGAATCTCGCTTTTTTGGGCTTATTGGGATGTAGTGGGGTCAGATATCTCGGCTCTATGCTCGGAGATATTTGAGTCAGGTAATCTGGATGAACATATTAATACGACTAAAATTGTGCTTATTCCAAAACTTGACAAGCCTGAGAGCATGGGTGATTGGAGGCCAATTGCGTTGTGTAATGTGGTCTATAAAAATTAATTCTAAAATTCTCGCTAACAGGCTAAAAGGCATCCTAGATAATCTAGTTGGAGAATCTCAGAGTGCCTTTGTTCATGGGAGGTTGATTATTGATAATATAATTGTGGCATCTATATCTATATATTATCTATATATTATACATTTGCAAGTAGCATTGGAGTAACACTTTGACATGTGTCATGCTCACAATCATTTGACACATGTCATTTTCATGTTAATTTGCTTTTTCTTATTTTAAACATCTTTTATTACAATGCATAATTTGGTAATGAATTCTCATATTTGTCAAGTATACCGTACTTAATAACTTTCCTTTTCTACAATCGTCCCCATTATTACTATATTTCCGTTTACTTTTTTTGATTGATTTTGCCGTTTAATATAATATTCTACTAACTATGTCTCATTTTATGTGTCGTGCTTGGGATTTTTTAAGATTATTTAAAGAAGTATATGTAATAGAGGTTAATGTAGAACACAGAAAAAATAGATTATTTGAAGATGATGATTGAGAAACTTAAACGAATTTTGAGATTATTAAAAAATTAATTATATAATAATATTTAAATGGTAAGAATCATAAAAACAACATATTATTAGAGATCATGAATGAAGATGCTCAGATGTTATTATACATTAATCACTTAACTCCTATAAAATAATTAATATGGTTTCACATTACCATAAAAAATCACATATTTAAACCTACGTACTAAAAATACTAAAAATACCAATCACCACTTGATCTTGATTAATTATATGATAATATTTGATAACATTACCATGGGCCGGTTTGGTACCTGTTTTTCATCTTATCAGGCTTATCAGCCAACCTTTTTCACCAAAAGCGTAAGTTTTGATTTCACGTGTTACATTGTGTAATCATAAGAAAAAATAAGGTTAAATTTATTTTTCTGGTCGTATTGGTTGAAGTTAGTGTAGAGGGTCATTTTTACTATTTTTTACATACTACATATAATTTTTCCATTACTTTACTAATAAAATTTTTTTTTGCTTCTTCATAAATTAACATAATCAACTAATTCAGCCACTTTAGCGAGAACTTCATAAATTTCAGTAGAATCAGCCGATTTGGAAATTACCAAACGGGCTCTATATAATTACCACTTCAACCCTAATTTCAAAGTGATTAAGCATTCAAATATCAACAAGTTATTTAGAATTCGAATATAAAAGGAAATGTTGATATTAAACCTATTGACTATTGGTAACATCAAAGGTAGATGATACTATTGTACGGTTATGTTATTATTTTTATTACAGACTATTAATATGGTTTAATATTAATATTAAACCTGAAAACATATACTATCGATTAAAGATAGATGGTAATATCATATGATAATATTAATATGCTTATACGGATCTAACTATTAATATAGTTTAATATCACCATATAACTTACCACCTCTTCAATCCTAGGTTTCTTACAAATCAGCTCTGAAGCCAAGTTATTACCGTGCACGTTTATTTTAGTATTACCATATGAGATTCTTTCATATAAACTTATTATAATCGACTGCATTATTCCCACAATTCAATTTAGTATAAACTTATCATTCTATAATTCATGTCCCCCGAGAAATGACTTCTTCTAAATTTCATGTCAGCTATTTCACTTTAAGGCAAAGTTAGTTCAGGAGTGATTCGATGATTCGATCATCCCTGAGATGGATTCATCTAGACCAAATAATAATGCTCATTAGATATGAGTTCTATTCGACCAATCTCCATTTTTCATTCTTTAAATTGGAGGATTGGTACCAATTCGGAGTTAGTTTTAAATTCAACGATTCATAATAAATATTAAAAATTAAATCACAAACAAACTATTCACTTCAATATGCTAGAGCCATTTAATAATGAACATCTTTATTTAAAAAAAAATGAACATCTAAATATTTGATGATCACATCTCGAAATTGATGTGAAATATTTTTGAGAATGATTAAATTTCTCAGAAAGTAGAAATAATAAAAATACTCCCTCTGTCCCTAAAAGAAGTTCCATTTCACTATTCCTTGGTCAACTTAAATCACTCTTAATCTCTTACTTTTTATATCAAAATTTTATAAAAGTTGAATTATTTTTTGCAGGCTTTGTAGCGGGTTTAATGTAGTTTCTGAATATGTAAATTTTATTTACTAAAAATAATCCGAGTTTTCACAGGGATCATTAAACTTTATCGTCGGTCAACCTCGTAAACCGCAAATGGAACAACATTTAGGGACGGAGGTAGTACATTGTAGGTAGATGATAATATTGTATGGTAATATTAATATTAATATTAATATTAATATTATTCAGGACTATTAATATGGTTCAATATTAATATTCAACCTACTACTATATATTGAAAATATTGAAGATAGGTGGAAATACTATATGGTAATATTAATATGCTTATATGGATCTGACGATTAATATTGTTTAATATCACCATATAACCACCTCTTCAAATATATGTTTCCTATAAAGCATCTTTCAATCATAGCTATTATTGTAGCTATTATTGTGCACGTTTATTTTAGTGTTATCATGTGTGATTCATCTTTCAATAGAAAACTTATTATCATCAAATGCATTATTCCCAAATTCAGTTAACGTCATTCTATAATGCATGTTCCCTCGAGAAATTACGTCTCCTAACAAATATGATTCCATTTTAGAGTTTCACGGTGAAAGACAATTGAAATACTCCATATTATCAAGGCAATGTTAGTTCACGGGTGGTTCATTTCTAAGATAAATTCATCTTGACCAAATAAGTAAATTGAAGTTTGGCCAAATAAGTAAACTCGGGTTTGATCACACACCGGTGGAAAAAGAGCAAGGTTTCTGGTCAAGTTTTTGTTTGAAATTGAACGCGACATCTCCCCATTATGATAGTCTGTTTTGACCCGGCCTTCGTGTTTTTTTTTTCTCTTCTTTTCCCTCTTTGCTGTGTTGCCCTCTGTATTT